TTCATAGAATGCATTTAACTTCATTAATTACAAATCTCACATTTGGTCGTCTGCACGCAGAAGGAGATGGAGCCAATAAATAAAGGCAGACACACATTTTCGTGCAGCTCTTTTTTCCTCTCAGACATTTGGACATGATACAGTCAGAACAGCAGATGTGTATTGATGACATCACCACCGACCCGCTGTAGTAACGGTGTATTGGAAGGTGTGAGTGTGAGACGCCGCAGCTAAATGGAATTCAGCGTTTTTATTTATTATATTTTCACCTAGCTACTTGTGTATACATGTTTTTAGGTTGCTTAATTCATTAAATGGGTTTATCTTGATTAATCATGACTAATCTTTTCACATTTTTGGACATTTTTTGTAATTCACAAGCAAAAGTTTTACAGTAGATGTAGTATAAAAAATCATTGTTTTGTTTTGTTTTTTGTCTCCTAAGTTTTTTGTTGTTTTTTTTAAACTTTTTTTCAGGTTCTGCAGGAGTTTCACCAGCAGCTGTTTACGCAGAAGAACCTGGTGTTTCAACAGGCAGCGGACTTCATATACCAGCCTGTCGACTCAGACACGGTAAATAGACGCTGTATATTTTATTATGCTTTTATTTGTGCAAATGCATGTGTTAATTTACTCCTTTTAATCAGAGAAGTCTGAATAGTCAAAAGAAAGGGAGCAAAGATAATAAATGCACGTGTTAATTTACTCCTTTTAATCAGAGGAGTCAAAAGAAAGGGAGCAAAGATAATACCCATTTTCTTCATTTGAAAACTTGAAAATCCAAATATTCCAGTGTTGGAATATTCCATATACTCCAGCAGGACTGCTGACAGTGTTACCTGGTAATGTTGGTAAGTCATGGCACAGTGTGTCATGGTGATGTGGAAGAAATAAATAATGACTTCATCCACAGCAAACTTGAACTTTGACCACATTTCAAACAAACAATATTTGCACTTTTTCCAATGGTTATCAGATCACAGCCAATGACTCTGTTACTCATTGAAAGGTGAAGAACATTCAGCCAAGCTTTTCATTTCAGTGAGACATCAGTGAAAGTCTGAAGAACTCCTGACTGTGAGTCACTCGGATGTTTCCCATGAACGTCAGCGTTGACTCCGTGATGATCGTAACGCCCTTGTTGTAGTAAAGCTGCGGTAGCAATTTAGAGATTTCCATAATCCCTTCTGCGGTGCAACAAACTTCTGTAAGGTGTGTTGGCACCAGAGGAGGTTCAAAATCCACGAAACAGTTACCTCAGCTGGGCTGACTAAAGTATTTGAACCGACACGTCTCTGTGTCATTTTAAAACTGCTGCGTTCTGGCCTCGGGCGAATCAGTCGGCATTTGTTTTTCATTTTGTGCCTACTACAGTCACGGTCATGTCTACTAATGTAACCCTCTTTGTGACGCACTGTTCCTTTAAGAGCACAGTTCACCCCCACCAATACCAAAATAGCAGCTTTTAGATCAATGTTGGACCATAAACGTTTTACCATCCTCCTGGATGAATGGAATAATAAAACGACCTTGTAGCAGCGGCAGGTCTTCGCTCTGATGGGCAGTGGTGTAAATATGGCTCCTCATTGGCCGTCTACTGTATGTGCAGTAATGGTCCGCCCACAGTTATGGGTGTACCGGCTATTTTTATACAGGATTAGGTCTGTCCTGAGTTGTAGGCACTCACAGCTGAGTCAAATGGATTAAAATCTATATTAAGCAGCAGGTTGTTGGTAATGATTAAAACTCAGATGTTTGTAGTTTTACATGGAGCTCGTTGTGATCATGACCAGAAGTGGAGACAAAACATCGATGATCATCACAGCTTGTCTTCTACCTCTGTCTAACCCCCGCCTTCTCTCATCTCTATTTTCCTTCATCACTCAATTAGCCAATAGTACCGATTAGTACCGAGTACGCATTGTATTAGCCAATAGTACGCTGTGTACGATCTCTTCCAGGTAAACAAAGATACTAGCGATGGTTCGTAAATCTCAATTTCAAAACGAGAATCCACATTTATAAAGCCCAAACTTTCGTATGTATAATTATTTTTTAATGTCTTTTAGTTTATTTTTTGCTGCTTCGCGATATAGTGAAAATTTCGTCAGATTGGATTTTTAAAAAATCTGCGATGTACTGAGGGAGCGAAAAGAGAACCGCGATACAGAGAGGGAACACTGTGGTATGAAAGCCATAATTTACCATTCTCATTGGGGACACGTCCTGTGATGGTGGTATGAAAGCCATAATTTAACATTCTCATTGGGGACACGTCCTGTGATGGACGTCATGTCATTTCAGTGTAGTCTCTGTCTTATGTGCATCATCCAGAGCCAGATAACTCTGGCTGCACGTCCCTGTCTCCTCCGCACTGGTCCATCCCTTCACTGGGCAACACTGGACAATTTGTTCAAACTGCAAACGCCGGCGTTGTTTTCGTTGGAAGTCAAACAAGCGGCAGCCTGTTCCTAAAGAAAACATTAGTAGTGTAGAGCCCTGCCTCACTCCTTCTCTCCCTGCCTCCCCCCTGCCTCCTCTTGCCTCCCTCCCTACCTCTTACACCAGACAGAGGAATCCGGTAAGGAATAGAGCTGAACTGGGAGGGAGGGGCAGGAGGTGCGCCAGGCTCTGTGAACAGCCCGTCTGTGAAAAGGAGGCATTGTGAGTGGGCCTCATCAGAGTGCACTGACCTCCCCACCCCAACCCTCTCCCTCACACACACACATGCTCCCAAATTCACACACACACACACACAGAGCTGTGAACCTCAGTCAGATTTTATGAAATATGTTTTATTCCTAAGGTCACCTTTGGTGATGAAGCTGAATCTGCGTCTTTCTCCATTCGACTTTTACCTCCATTTTTAAGAAAAAACAGCTTTTTGATTTTCAGCCGTGACCAGCAGCTGTTTTCTGCCTTCCTCTCTCCCTCCTTTCCTCCCAGGAACTGTGCGAGTCCTTCACAGTCCTGTGAGTGTCTTTCTCACAATACAGGTTTTTAAACCTCCGTCCCGTGTAATACGTAGAGAGAGAGAGAGAGAGGAAGTTGCCACATGGATGTAACAGAAATGGTAAATATAACTTACAGTGGTGGCATTTAGGAAACCGCCAAGGACTCCCAAAGGTGTGCTGCTGGTGATTAAAGGTGCATTAGGCAGCATTTAGAGAGGATGACTTGTTTCTGCGTGAGGTCATTTAACTGATGGGGTATTTTTATTCCTGAAACCCGCCTAGTTTTTACAGAGCAACATTTTTAGATTCCTGTAAAGTTGACCCAAAAACAAACATTAAGAAATGTCATCTGTTAATACGGTATAATTAAAATGTTGTTTCTGTGGACGTTTGTTCCCGGACTGAACTGAAAGAAATATGTCTGTGAATTCTGAGGTTTGAGCGGCTGAAATAGGCGCTCCACTTATTTTGGTGTTAATGCTGTTTTTTGTGCTCGACTTCTTAATGTGATGTATTTTTGTGTGTGTGTGTGTCTGCAGGTGATGCAGCTGCAGAAGGAGAGCGGAACGGCAGAGGAGCACAGTCTGGACAAGGAGGCGAGGAAATGGTCGAGCCGTGTGGCCCGAGAATACAAGTGCATCATCCACACACAGAGGGTGAGAAATATGACAGAGTCCAGACATAGATGCTTTTTTTGGATTTGGATTTTCAAATTAATATTGAAAAAGCATCTATTTAGGCTGAATGGCTGCTTTTTTTATTGTAAACTTGCACTTAGGAAGTACACAAAACATATACAAACACAATATTTCCAGAGCATGAATCAAAACAATCAACGGCTGCTTTTTTTTTATTGTAAACATGCACTTAGGAAGTACACAAAACATTATATTTCCAGAGCATGAATCAAAACAATCACAGGCTTCATTGTTGGTATGAATACATAAATAATCCATAACAGTACACGAGAAAAGAAAAATGTCCTGCAAATATGCCATAATTTTTTGTAGGACAAAACTGATTTTAGCTTTTTATAGTTTCCTGGTAACGCTGGATGTAAAACAAATATAAATACATGGAAGAAACAAATTAAGTGATGATTTAATTCCTAAAAAATAACTTAAATTATCAAAATATTTGAATGAGCTCTTGTTGAAGTTTTGTCTTTGTTCTTCAGACGGTTATAAACTGTCAATGTCAGGAAGATTTTATACTGTGGTATTACCGTTAAAAAGGCAGCAGTTAATGACTTACAGACATCTGTCCTTCCTGACCTGAAACCTTATCTTTACCGTAAAAGTTGGTAAAGCTGCAGCTCATAAAAACATTCGGCATTCGGAAGAGAAAGACCGTGGTGCTACAAAACGTTGCTAAAACCTTTGAATGAAAATAGGTCGCAGGTTAAACATATATCACCAGAACCACATCACAACGGGAACCTGTTTTTAATTCAAGGAACAAGGAAGTGAGTCACCCCGCCCCCCAGTCCAAAGTTAACCTTTTAATTCATAACAGTTTACCAGTGTTATTTTTTTCTGTTAATAAATTTGGTTCACTAACGAACTTCCATTCTATGACGGAAACTAAAAAAATAAATAGTAAACTATGTTGGGTTGAATGTAATTAACACCTGGATAATGTATTTGAGAGTTTGATTTAAAAAAAATCGATTTAATTTATTTTCAGGTCCTGGAAGAATATGGGACACAGGACTCGTCAGAGCAGATCAGCAGTGAACTGGAGACGAAGATGGACGTGGCCAGACAGAGTCTACGGAGAGCTGAGGTGAGTGGCTGGACCGTGGGTGAAATTGAGGTGGCACTATTGCTCCACCTACTGGTTGTAAAGATTCAGTGACACAGCACAGCCCTTAAACCGCTGATCAATACAGTTTGATTCTGGCGATATTTTTTGCTGACAGACGAGCTGTCTGTCAGTCACGTCTCCTTAAGCAAATATTTAGGAAACATTTTTTGACAAAAAAAAAACTGTAGAAAAACGTCAGTTTGTCTCTTGTTTTTCAACAACCAGACGGTGAAGGTGAAAGCCGAAGCTCGTCTGGATTTGCTGAGGGAGGTGGGGGTGGCGGTGGAGACGTGGCTGAAAAGTGCGATGAACCAGGTCATGGAGGAGCTGGAGAACGAACGCTGGAACAACCTGAACACCAACGATCCTTCGCTCTCTGTAAGTAACTACCAACAGGGGTCGCAATCCAGACTTTTATAGAAAATACTTTTTTTTTTACCTGAAACCTTTCTCTAAGTGTGATTTTTTTTTTACTATGTCACAGTAACAAGGTCTTGTGCTGTTGTTGTTATTGTGGTGGTGCAGGGTACAGCAGATCTGGAGCAAGAGGACGAGGAGGAGATGGAGGACAGTGGAGAAGTGTTGGACGACAGCAGCTCCAGTCCGTCCAGCACCCTGAGAAACTATCCTCTGACCTGTAAAGTCCTCTACTCCTACAAGGTGATTCCAGAGGGAGCCATGTCAAACTCATCTTTTATTGGGTTTAAATTTGGAACATTGTAGCTTTTTTTATTTAAAACAACTTTTCATTTCAAGATGTTGTTTAAAATTTTCCTTAAATATTTTTTTGCAGAAAGCCAAATAAATAATATTGT